AATTTAATTTACAACAATTTTCAGCTACACCAACCACTCATGGCCACATATGACATACACACAAACACCATCGTCAAAGCCGGTTTTCCGAATTATCAACAGAAATGCATCCTATCATTTCGACCGCTCACACGCACACAACAACATTTAATCAATTCCTTCTAAAAACGGCAACAACCACTACACATTACACTGACCATCCACTGGCCACACCGGTTTTCATCGCCTATCCCAGCTTGTCGACACCTAGTGTAACACCCAATTATTTTTATTTTATTTTATTTTTTATTAATTCTATATAAATATAAATATATATTAATTGAATTTAATTTATTTTATTTTATTTTAATAAAATAATAATAATAATAATAAGTGGTAAAAATTGGTTAGTGATTTAATTGAAAACAATTTTGGGAAAAAGTGGTGAAAATTTAAGTTTTGGGGGTATTTTTGAAAGAAAAATCGAAAACCAGAGGTCAAAACATAATTTAGAAAAGTTATGCCACATTAGCTGCCCGGTCAGCAACCCCGACCAACCAAGACGTGTCAGGTGGCAGAGACGCTGATGTGGGAGGCCATGCGGGAGAGAGCCACGTGGGCGATCCGCATACGCGCGATCGAACGGCTGAGATCCGTTCTCGCGCGCACGGACGACCCAGATAAAAAACGCGCACGGACGGCCCAGATTGTATCGCGCACGGACGGCCCAGATTGAATCGTGATGAACGACCCAGATTTACTTCCTATTTAATCGCGATTGGACGGTTCAGATTAAAAGCGAATGACGGCCCAAACCCTAACCCTAGTCGCTAGAGCCCATCGCCGGAGAAGACAGCCCAGCCGCCGAGGAGCCGACCGTTGCCACCCGCTGCTGCATCAGAGCAATTTTTGACTGTCAAATGAGGTAAAAATTCTACCCTTTGCTCAGAATTTGATTTCAAACCCACCCATGGCCAAATCAGAGTGAAAAAACTGGCCAATTGGTCGAAAAATGCCGCCGAAGCTCAGCGACGCTACCGCACGGTGTTTCGAATTTCGCCTCCGATGAAAAACTTCCTTATTCCCGTTCGATGTAATTTTTCCACCGTTGTGATCATGGTTCCCTCCTCTACAGGTTGACCGGAGCAAAACACCCAACCGCAGCATGAGCCGGAGAGCCGCCGCACCAGA